AGAAGTAGGCTGTGACTTGACGCCCCCCCCCCCAGCCCTGCAAAATCCTGCTGGTGTCTCTCAGGGGCTCCCAGTCTCCAGCCTGGCTTTTCTTCTGCCACAGACTGGAACAGCTGCCCTCTGGGACGGAGCTGCCACCCCCCCCATCCCGCTTCACTCCCTCCTCCCTGTCATGCCTGCACTGGTGATTCTGCCCCAGGAGCCAGGGCCCCCTTCTCCCTCTCCAAGCTGTGCAAAGGGGTGGTGGTGGAAGAGCCCTCCTGGAGGGCTAAGATGGAGGAAGGACCATCAGGAGGAGCGGTGAGCTGCGGACCCTTCCACCATTTTCAAAAGGGGGGCTTATTCCTCCACTCCCCCCCCCTCCTGCGGGTGCCCCTGTCAGGCCGATCTTCCCGGTGGGGGGCTTCCTGCTTTCCCTCCCAAAAGGCCTGGGAAGGAGATGGAAGCGACAAGGTGGCTGAGGCCAGGCCGAATCCACTCCTCCTTGCTGGACCGGAGGCCGTGTGGCACAACAGGCCCAGGAAGCCGGGCTATCAGTTGGCATCCAGCTGTATGGCACGTGGGTGGGAAAGCGCCCAAGGGCCTCAAGCGGACTAGCCACCCCACCCCCCCGGCAAGCCACGTCAGACTCCCTGTGAGGCAGGCATGGGAGGAGGTAGGCCGGGAGGAGACGGAGGAACAGAAGGAATCTGGCCGCTGCACTCACAGAGGGGGGGGAAGGCAAGTGGGGGGCCGTCTGGAAGCAGCTGGAGGTGCGCTTCTGGCTCTCCTCATTGAGGTATGTCTGTTCATGGAACCGTTTCCCCCCCCCAGGCTCCGAGGGGCTTCTGCGGGGGCGATTAAAAAACCAACCCCTCCCACCTCCTGAAAACTCCCCAGGGGCAGCGCTCCCCTCCCCTCCCCGGGGAGGCGGTTCCACAGTGAAGAAGAAGAAAGCTCTTTTGGGGTCTCTGCAGCGACTTCAGACCAGGGAAGGGCCAGAGGCCTCAGAAGGCTACCAGGAGGTGGGTCGGGGGCTTGTCTGGGCGCTGTGTGAGGGGCAGGAGGGGGTGGAGCCCTCACCCATGGTGGTGGTGGTGGGGAGCGGCTTTTGTACTTACCCGGGCGTCTCTGGGGCTTCCTGCTGGGGAGGCAGCCTCCAGGTCTCAGGCCGACCAAACCGGGAGGGGGTCTGTCCCTCCGGGCCTGGCTGGCTTCTCGCAGATGTACCAGAGCTTCGTGCTGCACTGTGCTGATGTCCACTGGCCTTCCTGCAGTCTTACGCACAAGTAATGCCGATTGTCAGTTCTGTGGGAGATAAACAAGGAAGGAAGGAAGAAGTCAAAATCTCTTACCCCTCCCCCGTTCCCCCTGTATATCTCGGACTGGTACTTTGCCGCGTCCGCATGTGCAGTGGGTGGGTGGGAGTCCCCCTCTGCACCAAGCAGCGGCAGCAAGGCTGTGCCGGAAGGGCCGGGACTGCCGTGAGGCTCCAGAGAGGCCTGTGTGGTTCCTTCCCTGTGGCTTCTGCCACCGCCAAAGCAACTCTGCCCCTTCCCAGTGCCCTGGCTGCAGCCCATCCCTCCTCCCCTGGGCCAAGGGCCACCTCTTCAGGTTTTTTTGTTTTTTAAACAGGCCACTAAGCATCAATATCGGAGTCTAACACTCTCATTTCCCACAAAAGCACTAGCCCCTTCCGTTGTGGAGATATCCCTTTCCCCTTTTATTTCGGCAACGAAAGAGACTAGAGAATTGATTGAAAAGACTGCTGGGAATTCAGAGCGCCTGATGCACAGGTGGTTACAGCCTTGTAATGATGCTCCATTGCTGATTTTTTTTAAAAGCCTCCCCCAGTGGCAGAGGGAGCCAACGGCCATTGTGGGGACAGGGTCATCGGATCACAGGAGTTGGAAGGGACCTCCAGGGCCATCGCCTCAGGGGCTCGGTAGCCTGACCCTGCGCCCAGCCCGCCACACCCGCCGTGGGGGCCTCTGCTCAACAGCAGAGCTCTCACTTGGCTTGTCAAAGCTCAGTCTGACCTGAAGTGGCCGGGCCGGAAAGGCCCCCTGGCGGAGACCTCGGGGGCTACACCCAAGGAAACTGCCATGGAGCAATGCTCCCTCTAAGCTGTGGAGTCCTGTGAGCAAAAATTCTGCTTGGCGATCTACCGGCATGAAAGTTGTGAGCGAGCAATTTGGCTCCTGCACAAATTAGTTTGCTTTGAGGCCCTCCTTCCTGAGCTCAGACAAAAACGTGTGAGCTGGAGGCTAAAAAACTGTGAGCTCACTCACACTAACTCAGCTTAGAGGGAACGCTGCCCTGGAGGGTCACGCTCAGGGCCTGACTCGGTGGGGGAAGGGTGTCGGTCATGTGGCGGAAGACCTGGGGTGATGCCCACCCATGATGCCTCCCCGCAACTCCCTGCAAAGTTGCTGGTGTGCGTCTCACCTGCGCTTACCCTGTATACTGCGAGCTCTCCAACAAAACCCATCCTTCCTCCTTGTTAGACCATCTTCTGTAACATCCAGTCCAGTATACGTTTGATCCCAGAGGTCTCTGGAATAAAAAAAGAAAGTGCCAACCTTTTGTTGCTCTTGGGGGTTTTTTGCCACCAAGTCATGGCTGACTCACGGCAACCCCCTGCAGGGTTTTCAAAGCAAGAGACATTCCAAGGTGGGTTTGCCATGATCGGCCTCCACATCGTGACCCTGGTATTCCTTGGGGGTCTCCCTTCCAAATACTGACCAGGGCCGACCCTGCTGAGCTTCTGAGACCTAACGAGATCAGGCCAGCCGGGTCACAGCAGAGAATCCTCCTTTGGAATATTTGGCCATGTAGTGAACTTCTCCACCTCGCCCTGGGCCACTCACATCCATCACAAAAGCAGTTAAAACGTGACAGGGCCATGCTGAAAGCCACCCGCAGGACACAGAGAACAGGTGGGCCCAGGCAACCCCAGGGCCTTCTGGGAAGAGGGGGCCCTCCGGTTCCTCCTCCACAGGCCTGAAACGGGAATCCCACCACCTGGGAGGAGCCTCTGCAGAGCCCCGCCCAGGAGCCCCTGCCAGTCCCATATCAGACCGGGGCAGGCCTTGCCTCCTGTGCTGACCGGAGACCCTGGAGATGGGGAGGGGGGAGGAGGAGGAGAAGGCCCTTCAGGTGTTTGGGACCCAAAGCGCTTGAGGGCTTCGAGATGAAAAGCAGGGCCTTGAGATGTGCACCAGACGCAAACTGGGTACTGGCGTGGGCTGTGTCTCAGAGGGTCCCAGGAAGAGCCCTCCCCTCCCCGCCACGAAGCTTCCGGGGCTCTTGCCCACCAGCTGAGCCGATATGGGCTCCTGATGTCAGCGCCTCTGTGTCACACAAGAGCAAAGAAGCAAGAATCAGGCCAACTCGGAAGAAGCGGCAGAGAGCTTGGCGAGGAAGGCTGAATGGGCCCTCCCAGAAGTCCCCTGGAGAAGCCTCGCCGCCCCCAGGATCCCGCACTCGGAGCCCTGGCCAAGGGCCTTCGGTCATCAGGGAGCCTTTAGCCACCAGGCTTTCTCCTCTCGTGGTTAGCATGCCCACGGCCTCAGGGCAGGACCCCTGCCTGTATTTGCAATGCCCGCCAAAGCCCAGGGGGTGGCATGAGCTGAAGCTGCCCTCCACGACTCTGCCGCCTTCTCCCCCCACCCCCCCAAGCTGCTGAGCAGCCACCAGCATCTTAGGCGGCGAGAAACGGGCAAAGGCCTGCAGCCCAGAGCCGCTGGGAGTGGGCAGCAGGGGCCCCAGAGGGAGCCCGCGGAAAGGAGCAGGAGGTGCTCTGTGGAGGAGCTTCTCCTTGCCTCCATGTCAGCCCCCCACCCCCCGGTGATTGGGCAGTGCTCTTGCAGCCTGTGGCCACTTGCGCTGTACCGGTATGGCCGGGGGCACCCCTGGTTTGGTGATGAGCAGCTGAGCAGCCTTCCTCTCACAGTCTCTCTTGCTCTCCGCCCACGTCCTTATCTGGGTAGAGAAGAAGAGGCACCTCCCCCCGTACAGCAGCCACTCCTCCTCGGGGCACCAGCCTGCCAAAGACACAAGGCGGGGAGGGGGTGTGTGTGGAGGTGGGTCCGCATGACACCACCCTTCGCAGCAGCTTTCACCTTCTTTTCCTCTTCGTCTCCTTTCGCCAGCGCAGCTGATGCAGGCCCCAGGAGCCAAGCTGAAGCCGCCTTCCACGCGTTGCTGTGCCTCCGACCAGCCTCAGAGTCACATTGGCTGGTCACACGACCCTCCGGAAGGCAGCATCGGGAGCCCCTATCGAGGTGTGGCTCAGGTGGGCCGCCCTGCCAAGACGGGGGGCCCGGCCACAAGGAAGCCGCTCTCATCTGTAGGGGCACCCCCGTACAGACAAAGGTATCCACGAGCCCATCTCCCCATGAGAGCCCGTGCTGCATCTCATCCTCTCTCCTCTCTGACCGAGGCCGCTGGCCCAGTCCTGCCCCCGGGAGCTTTCGACCAGACATGCCAGGACCCTATCAGCCTTCCTAGCTGATGGCCCCGGGGCCCCCGCCAAGGGGCTTGCCTCCCCTTCCCCTTGGAAGTCAACTGTTCTGTGATGAGGGGAAACCACCTCCCCGCACTCACACGCACACGTGTCTTGCATTGGATGAGCCCGGCCTCAAATGGGGCTCAGTTTCTTGCAAGTCAGCAGAGCCAGCTTGGTGTGGAGCAGCAGACTCTAATCTGGGAGAACCGGTTTTGATTCCCCACTCCTCCACATGCAGCCAGCTGGGTGAACTTGGGCCAGTCACAGTTCTCTCAGAGCTCTCTCAGCCCGGCCTACCTCACAGGGTGTCTGTTGTGGGGGGGAGGAAGGGAAAGGAGACTGTAAGCCGGGCCGGCTCACCCACTAGGCGAACTAGGCATTCGCCTAGAGCGCCGGGCCCTGGATGGGGCACCAAGCTGTGCCTCCTCCCGCCCCCCCTTTGGTGGTGGCAGGGGGGGAGGAGGCGGTGGTGGCAGCAGCAAAAGGGTGGCTGGCTCCAGAGGGCTCCAGGTCTTCAGGCCCCACCGGGAGGTTGGCATCTGCGCCATAAGGCAGCCTCGCCTAGGGCGCAGAAACACTTCGAGCCGGCCCTGACTGTAAGCCTCTCTGAGACTCCTTTGGGGAGTGAAGGGCAGCAGGGTATGCATCCATTCTCCTCCTCCTCTTATCCTTCTCCTCCTCCTCCTCCAGAATTCTCACCAGGACTGCCCCAATCGATGGTGTCTTCTTCCATCCAACCAAAGCTCCCCGCCAGGGCCTGCATAGTCCCTCCCCTCCCAACTCCACAGGGATGCTCCCCGGCCCCGTGACCAGCAGGGGGTGCTCGCGAGCTCACCAGCGCAAGCCTCGGCCCGCGTTGCGTCCAGCGCCTCTTCGGCCTCCCGTCTCTTCTGGATCGCCGTGGCCAGCGCCGCCTCCTCCTCCCGCAGCCGCCCCTGAGCGCTGCTCGCCAGCCGCTGACTCTCCCGCAGGGCTGCCCGGCTCCGCTTGAGCTCGGCCTCCGCCTCCTCCAGCCTCCCCTGCACCTGCAGCAGGCCCCGCTCCCGGGCGTCCAGGCTCGTCGCCAGCCTCCTGCTCTCCGCGGCGGAGGCTTCCGAGGCGTCTCGAAGGCGCCGGGAGACCTGCCTGTCTGCAGAGGTCCTGCGGCTGTGAGTGAGACCCACTGCTTTGGGGGACTGTCCCCACTAGTGTTCCCTCTAAGCTGAGTGAGTGTGAGCCAGCTCACGGTTTTTTAGCCTCCGGCTCACAGATTTTTGTCTTGGCTCAGGAAGGAGGGCTCCAGAGCAAACTGTTTTATGCAGCAGCCAAATTGCTGGCTCACTCACAAAGTAGAATTTTTGCTCACAAGACTCCACAGCTTAGAGGGAAGGCTGGTCCCCACCCTCACCATAAGCACATAAGAAGAGCCCTGCTGGATCAGACCAGTGAGGGTCTCCATCTAGTCCAGCATATAGCTTCTGGAAAGCCCACAAACACACACACACACACACACACACCCGGGCTGACCAGGCCCTCCTGACTGGGGTGGGGTAGGGTGGGGGGGCATATCTGGGACTCTTACATTGCACTCCGAATCCGATGGTGGTCGCCAGGAGAAAGAGGGAGGCTCCCAGCAGGAGGCCCAAGGTTATGGGCCAGAACGGCTTCTTGGGCCCTGCGAGAGGAAACGGTGGGGCTCAGTCCTGGGTCCCGCAGCGTCAGCACCCTTCTCACGCACTTGCGCTGCCTCCCCGGACTAATCTCAGTCTTGTTCTCAGGCAAACACTGGAGGGTTGTCGCCGCTGGTCACCGCCTGACCAAGGGTGGGCAGTGTGATGTGGCTGCCAAAAGGCAGATCTGGGGGCCCGTCTTCCCTACTAGAGGTGAAGTCCTGTGGCTGTCCCTTTTTTTCTTTTTTTAAAAGTAAGTCTCTAGTCCCTTTTGCCTTTCCCCTGGGAAGCTGAGGGGTTGGAAGGACAAGTCTGTACATCATCGTAACGTTTCTGTGCCTCAACAAAATGCTAATTGCCAGTGTTCTCTCTAAGCTGAGTGAGTGTGAGCTAGCTCACAGTTTTTTAGCCTCTGGCTCACAGATTTTTGTCCTAGCTCAGGGAGGATGGCTCCAGAGCAAACTAGTTGATGCAGAAGCCAAATCGCTCGCTCACAACTTTAAGGCCAGTAGTTCACAAGGTAGAATTTCTGCTCACAGGACTCCACAGCTTAGAGGGAACATTGCTAACTGCCAATTTGAAATGAAAAGTAGGATTAATCATGAAAGCCCACTGATTAATCATGAAAGCCCACCGGTGTCTAATTTGCCCTATTTGGGCAAATTGATCGAGAGGGCGGTGGCGACACAGCTTCAGAGCTTTCTGGATGACGCTTCTGTCCTAGATCCACTTCAGTCTGGCTTTCGCCCTGGTTACGGGACGGAGACAGTGCTGGTCGCCCTTACTAACGACCTCCGGAGGCATCTGGATCGAGGGGGTGTGGTGGCACTGGTGTTGTTAGATCTGTCGGCTGCGTTCAATACGGTCGACCACCAGTTGCTGACCCACCGCCTCGCCGACGTGGGGATTCAGGGACTCGCCCTTCAATGGCTTGCCTCTTTTCTCCAAGGTCGGGGACAGAGAGTGGAAATCGGGGAACAGCGGTCCCAGAGGCACCCACTTGAATGTGGTGTCCCTCAGGGGGCAGTGCTTTCCCCGATGCTTTTTAACATCTATATGCGCCCTCTCGCCCAGATTGCCAGGAGGTTTGGGCTGGGCTGTCATCAGTATGCAGATGACACCCAGCTCTATCTGATGTTGGGTGGCCGGTCGGGCTCCGACCCTGAAGATCTTCAACAGGGATTACAGGCCGTGGCTGAGTGGCTCAGGCTGAGCCGGTTGAAATTAAACCCAGCGAAGACGGAGGTCCTGGGCCTGAATCGGAACGGTCTGGGGTTAGGGCTCCCTCTCCCGACCTTCGATGGGGTACCTTTGGTGCCTGCATCGGAGGTTAGGAGTTTGGGAGTGCTCCTGGACTCCTCCTTAACAATGGAGGCCCAGGTAGC